GGGGGAATAAGGGTTTTTTGGTTTCCCAGTCCTTAGGTTTTTGGGGGCCCGGGAGGGGTTTTTCCGGCAGGGGGTTTTTTTTAAAATGGGGGGGGGGGGGGGGGGGGGGAGGGTTGCGCTGGGCGTGGTCAATGGAGAAGAGACGAGAGATCTCCCTGTACCAGTTGGTGTCGGCGCACAATAGATGCAAAAAGTCCAACCCTCGGGTAGATCAAGCTTAGAGGCAGACGCACTCGGTAGATCGAATCGTCGGGTGCGGCCTGACCGACCGGTGGGGATGGGTGGGAGATGAAGTCGAGGGTTGCGCGCAAGGAGCAAGATGCGAGGCAAGGCGAGGTATGAGAGTTTGGGGCAGATGATCAACACGGAAACGCCTGAGCTTAGAGCTGGAACGTAGGACAAACGAGTCCAGACGAGGCCACGAGCCGTCAAGGAGGTGAGAGACAGGAGGTAATGAGTTGGCGGTGTGGGGGCTCAAAGGAAGCTAAAGAGCTCGGAGCTGGAGCTGAAGCAGACGAAGCCAGGCCCTCCACTTTGGTAGTCGATTGTCTGCCTGTCTCGATGCCCGGGCCGGGTGGGCAAGGGAAGTGGTGATGTTCCAGATGAATGAGGGAAGGGTCCGGGGGGGGTGGGGGGTGAGGGGCTTGGGGTTGTCAAGATGCTTGGGCGTAAGTAGTAGGCAGATATGAGCATCAGCCGCCGCCGGAAGGTGCTGTAGGTAATACTGAGCGGGAGTAGGAGCAAGAGCAGCCTTTCCGAAGAGAAACAGAGCAGGCACCAGAGAAGAACAAAGGCAAGAGGTTTGGGATGACGATAGCCCAATATGGGATCAGGATCGCGCTTGCCTTGGCCTCACGTACTGTACTGTACATGGTACAGCACACCCCCTTCTTCCCAGCAAGAACTACCGGCGCGATGCCACAAGGTGAAATGGTCAAGGTACCGACCAGGCTACCTCTTCATTCGTGTCGGAATAGGTACATGTAGTTCGTGGGTGACCTGTCGACTGCCGCCTGTCGCCTGTCGCATTTTCTTCTTTTTTCCCCCACCGGCAGCCACCGATGACACTGCTATTTCGTGGTGCTACCCCCCCCTGCCGTGCTCTGCAGGCCCTGTCCGTAAGCTTGGGGCAAGGCACGTCGGGCTAAGGTAGCAAGCGGTTTGCAAAAAAAAAAAAAAAGAGACGTACCGAGTCCCTCCCCCATAACCATTCCTACTGCCCAGCTATCCAGCCCTGCATTTCTACAACGACTCCAGAACTTCATTCTAGGCAAAAAGCCGTCATTTGAAGTAGGGTATATTATATTAGTCGATAGATTCAATAGCCACTATAATACTAGATCCAGCAGGTGTCTTGTAGTTGTGTTGTGCAGTCATTTAGGTAGAGGGGTTGGGGTGAAGCATTCAGTACGTCTCATTTATTTTGCAAACCGCCTGGGTAGGTAGGTAGGTGGTGTCAAAAGTCCAGCTTTCCAGTTTCCAGTTCCCAGTTGCCAGTTTCCCAGTGTCAAGCGTCGACCCAGCGCGCCACAGCTGTTAGTCCGGGGGGGCGATGCGTGCTTCCCCCAGCACCTGTAGAGGTACCCTGTACACCAGAGATACCCCGTCAGAACTGACTCCAGGGTCCGCGGGTGCGAACCGGGTGGGCCCGCAAGCCCACACTTGGGCTTGGTAGACCTGCGTCCATGACTTCAATGCCCAATCCCAAGTACACCGCAAGTACTGGCCAGCTCTTCATCCAGCTCGCCCGTCCCGGTCTGCCGTGTCTCTCTAAGGTACGTGGTAGGCACTGCTGCCACACCGTCTGCGGCATGGTCCCAACTCTAATGTCTGAAAGCTAAGGTACCTACGACGATCGAGCTATGCCCTTAGCTCCGTGGCTAGACTTGAATAGGGTGACCAGGCAGCCGAGCTGCTGCTGCCAGACTGACAAAGAGGGAAAGAGAGAGAGACTGTGGGAGAGTCTTCCTGATTTCCGGGCCGCCAATCTTCTGGCGGTGCTAAAAGTAGATGGAACCGCCCTCCGGGCCAGCTTGGGACGAGATGAGATTCAGAAGCCTGTACTTTGCTCGACGCTCTGCTTGCCAGTGTCTCGCTGCGCCATCCAGCTTGGGTCTCCCTGCAAATCGTGCGCCACACGAAGGCCATCGAAATACGGCGGCGTTGCAATGCAGACACCGCTACCACGTTCCGGGCAGTAGCAACGTCGATGGTCGGCACCTGCCTACCTGCCTTGCCTGCCTGCCGACCTGCTCCTGCCTGCCTACCCTGGGTCTTGTCTGCCCACCACCCACACATCAACCCACCTGGTATCCTGCCTGCTGTCTGTGCCTCTGCCTTGTTTATAATGTTCCTTAATCCCCCTCCACCCCCCTGCCCACGTCGATAATGATGTGCTGTTAAAGGTCCGTCGCCAGCATTCGGGTTCGGGTGCCTGATCGTCAATCCTCCATTCCCGGATCTCGGGGGGGCCAGTAAAGTCCACCTCGGGCTCCTCTTTCTCCGACACTTGCCTCTTCTTTTCTCCGGTTCCTCAACAATTTTGTGGACGGAATTCGCGAGCCTCGGCCGAAGTCAAGTCGTCTTACAATAGCAACATCGATCACCCTCCTCCTCCACAGGCTACCCCCGGCTTGCCCTCCCCAGCACCCTTCACGCGGCACACCAGTGGGCATGCGATCACGCATCCTCTCCCCACCCCAGTCGAGGCCACAACCGCAATGCCGCAGGCCCGCATCCTTACCCACATGTCCTTCGTGCATCCTGGCAAATGGCAACTCGTTAGCGCCCCCACAGGGGGCATTGCGGCAGCATGCGAGCCTGCTTCTTGCCTACAAGGCAAGCCTGCGAACCTTCCACTGTGGCGCTGGCCCTGGTCCTGGACTTCTGGAACCGTTAAGGAACTCGTGTGTAGTTTCGTGGTGGGTGGGGTGGAAGGAGGCTGCTGAACAAGGGGAATATTCACCCACACACCCCTGTCAACTCGGGTTTTACAGACCGTAAAATCAAGGGAGGTTCTCCTTGGCAGCACACTGAGGAAGATGGCAAGGAAGGCTGAATGCCATGCGCGCCAAGAGCTTACATCTTTTGCGGAGCTGCTCTTGCAACAATGATCGCCCACAACCTCATACTCACTGTCTTCCGCTGGCCCGTTGATCGTCTCCTCTCAGCACCACTATCAACCGCGATGGAACCGCAGGTTGAGCGACACGGTCAACACGAACCGACCTTGTCGATGCCCTGTTCCCTGTCATTCTGACTGACTGGTCTGGACTCTTCGGGCGGGGGGGGGCTGATGCAGTCAGATCGTGAGCCCAAGTCCAGCTGGCCCCTCCCCCCAACTTTCCTCTGTAGCTAGGGCCTTTGGCGTCTGACCACCGGCAGAGAGACGCTAGCTGTCCAATTGTCAGCCCTCGAGTGAGTTTTTGATCACTGGCACGGCTGGCACGGCTTGGACGGGTAGCTGGGCGGCGTGTGGCGGCATGGAAATTGGTCCACTTCAAGGGAGATCAGAACTGTGGCGGGGTGAAAGTGCGCGTGTCTACACCTGAGACGTCGCCCAGAGGCGAGCAAGCGTGTTTCTAGCCTCCGGCTGAGATATCATCCTCACTCACTCATGGTCTGATCCTGCTACCACGTACTATACATTACAGCCAGGGGCACGGCACGTTGTGCGTTCGAGTCAAGACTCCAGCACTCTGTATTCGGTCCTTCAACGAACGCAGTCACTGCAGTTGCCACCTGTGCATGAATCGAATGACAAGCTGACGACGAGTTGTCGTTGTCAGAGTGCATGGTACAAATGTCTTGACTTGGTTGCAGGCGCATTCGCGGCGCTTCTCATGCGCACCACACGGAGCCTGCGAGTCACGAGCAACCTGGCAGGTGCAAGAAATGGCAATGGCAATCAGATGGCCACTTGGCTCGACTTTCTGGCTGTTGCGCCATTGGCTGTGGGGATCGCGGGGTTTAGTCTGGCGGGATACTGTGCCTTGACCCCTGGCGATGTCCCCCTCTGCAGACAAACAGGCGACGATGCCATGCTGGCCACAAGGGGGGGGGCGCGGTTGCCCTGTGTCAGTCGTCTGCCTCCCAAGCGGCAGACAAGACATTGTTCGTCACAGGCGCTGCGTGCCGCTGACACCGTTCCTGCTGCAAGATGGATCCGCCCGTCATCTTAAGTCCGATGAGATACAAGCCAGAGTCATGCCACCAATAAGCCGACCCGAAGCCTCGTCTTGGACGGCGCTGCTGTCGGCGTTTGTCCCTCCACCCTCTTGTCCTGGACTGGCGGGATCACAGAATAGGGCCTGCTGCAGACGAAGGGCCCCCAGCCAACCTGCCGAAATGGAGCCGGGGGGTGGGAGGGATTCAGGGGCATGGTGCTTCCTTAGCGTGGAAAAGCTCCATCACATGTCAGAGACAGCCAATAATTCCACAACATATCGATGGACCAGACGCATGTGCCGAGGAACAATAGTCATCGACCAAAGGTTAGATCAATCGCCCTGGCTTCCAGTCTCCTTACCGCAACAACCTCGACTGCAGCTCGAAATGAGGGGTTTTCTTGGCTCCATCTCGGTCAATCTTTACGTGAGCGCGAATCCGCCAAAGTGGTGCACGTCAACTGTCGATTTTGACAATCCCTTCGTATCTGTTCCCGTTGGAGCCGCGCCAAGGAAACGGCAAGGGGACATGGAAGAGCCCTTGACCTGGCGCTGGCACAATGGTGGTTTCAGCAAAACACGGCTTCGACCCCCGTTTTGTGTTTTGTGGACGACCACATCTGGAATCCGACTGTCTGGCTCGCCAGAATCTGTCAAGCCACGGCTGCTCCCACGAACGGTCGCGTCTTGGCTTTCTCAAGTGAGAGCAGCCACTAGACGATTGGCAATGCAAAGTCCTTGGAATCAGTGCGCTAGTGATGGAGAATGCCGTTGCAATTCATTAGATCCTGCAAGTCGGACCCAGTGTTGCAGGGATGTAGTATGAAGTGATGCAAGCCTCTTTGAACAGGGGGGGTTTCTGATTGTAATGATGACAGGCCCGAGGGTCTGCTCCCGCATACCGAGATGCAGAAGTTCTGTTGGGTCCCTTTCCGTGAAAAACTGACGCTCCCCATATTGGCCCATATTGGGGGAGGGGACGTCGACGACTGTCGCTGTCCAGACGCGCTGCCACCTTCCAAAAGTCGATTTGGTAGGCAGGATGGAGTGCATAGGTGCGCCGAGCTCGCGGATGATCGTGCAATTTGACGCTACTGCATGTCAAGCAGGTCGTTTGATTCTGCAGTGCTCGCTGTGCGGATTGCTGGATTCGACAATATGCAATGTGCCTCGATAACGCACAGCAACAGGCTCGATCCTCGACCAAGAGGCAAATAGGTAGGTAGGTAACGGAATCCGGCGCAGACCGACAAGCCGCTAGGGCAAGATGGATATGCAACCTGAGGTCGTCATCCGACTCTGTCACTCCACGACGCCCGTTGGCGATGCAGGCTGGCGTCATGCTGTCAGTCCTCGTTGTCAGAATAAGGTTGTCCGATTCACATGTGGATTCTGCGCACGTTTTCTTCTCCTTTGTCTCTCTCGGCCGAAGGCTGCCATGCTTCATGCGCTGTTGGCCCAGCTGTGAGGATCTGGTGTATCTCAGACCGCTAAGCTGCAGTACCGTCCCGTGGCTTGTTCCCCTTTCCAGAAGTCGAGCCCGGTAGGGGGCGGTCGGAGGGCATGACCGATACCGACCACAGCTCCGGCGAGGCAGGGACGGGGAGGCGCACGAGAGGCAGAGACGAAGGGCCGCCGGCTTCCAGAAAGGTTCTGTCATGGTTCGATGCAGGGTTGGCAGCTGGTCTCCCGCTACGTATACTGTCCGTTCCTGGAGATCACCGTCATTTCTCTCCTTTCTGTCCCGAGATGGCTCGTCTCGCACGACGGCAATCTGATCTTGACAGCTTGGCGGCTATCGGACGCCACGGCACCAGGGTCCTTTGCCGCATGAATCTGGGGAATGAACACAAGCAATAGCCGCGACACTATTGACAAGCTTGCTGAACATGGTTGTCGTCATTGTCGGAACCATGAAGACCCCGTCTGCTCCATTTAGACATGACAGTGGCTTCATTAGGACATGGGAACAAATGATTCCCATGCGAAATTGCCTGATCCGTTTGGTCCGAACCATTCGCTGGTGTATGCCAAGTCTCGAAATTGTCTGTCTTCTTTCGCTTCGATGATCTGCTCGAATGATCTGCTCGAGGTTCTTGGATTTTCCCACCCTTGAGGAGCATCAGGGGTGATGAACATGGCAGAAAATGACCGTCTGCTGGCGCCCCAGTGAGAAGGACTACTGAACCCCACTGTCACCGGATTGCGCCACTTCTGGCTGCACTGGACTTTCTGGGACCGACCCTTCTTGTCTTCAGGCAAGAGCCGTATAAGCCGTAGAACCTGGGTTGAGCACCAGCCACATCTAAGGACTGTGTGTGCCACAATCAAGACCGAACCGATACCGGCAGGCTCAGATGCACCTGAGATTACTAATGAACGAATACTCGTCGCTGGAGCCACCCGGGTGACAGGCCCCACCGCGGGGGCAATATTGAACATTCATCAAGCGGCAAGGAGAATCACGATACCAGCCAGAAAGACTCATCCACATGCCAATCGTCGACACACCCATCATCCATCACCCATCAATCAACCCTTGTCAAATCAGACAGTATCTGTGTGGTTGCATTCTTGGCATCTTCTGAATATTGAATCTCGCAGCCACGTCATTTCCTTCCTTCCCAAAACAGGCCTCTACTTCCACAATGGACAGAGACGTCGATAATGCGAACCCGACCATATTGACTGCAGCACAGCTGCCTACGCGGCAGAGCAAGAAGAACCTGGCAAGGAAGGGCCCAGACAACAAGTACGACGGTATCATCTTGGCCAAGCCCGACTTCCTATCCCGCCCTTTCTGTGACGCCGACGACTTCCTGTGGCCCGACAGGGATGATGCGAATGAGGAGTTCACACAGGAGCCCATTGACGAGCAAGAGATATACGGTACGGCCCTCTGCCCATTTCTCTCTTTGCTAGCTTTCAGCCTCGCGACTGCTTTCTTGTCCTCCAAGGTGGTTCAGCGTGGCACCCATGTCTGGTCCCTTTTGATGTTCATGGTCTCGCGACAATTGTCGAGTTACTCGTCTTCATATGCGGCACCATGTGCCACTTGAGAACGGGAAGAGTTCAAAGCGTTATCTCTGCGGGCTCTTCTCGTCCTTCAAATTTGATCGATGTCTGCTACAGAGCACAGCTAGCCTGAACTGGTCATTGACCCCAGCGGGGATCAAGCAACTGACGTTTCATAGACCTCATATCAACTATTTCTGACCCAGAACATCCCTTGTCCCTGGGTCAACTAGCCGTCGTCAATTTGCCTGACATTTACATCACACCGGCGCCAACAGCTCAGCAGGACCCCAATGCGCTAATCACTGTCTTGGTCGAGGTAACGCCGACTATCACACACTGTTCCCTTGCGACGGTCATTGGGCTTGGGATTAGGTTTCGATTGGAGCAGGCGCTGCCGCCTAACTACCGCATTGACGTGAGGATCAAGGAGAACACGCATAGTCAGGACGAGCAGGTTAACAAGCAGCTCGGTGACAAGGAGAGAGTGGCTGCCGCTATCGAGAATGACACCTTGAAAGGTGTCCTCGACAAAATGCTTGAAACATGCGTCTGATACAAATGGGAATATTCCACTTTCAACTTCACATTCATCTCGTCATTATCGATATCTCGCGTTGCTCCTGTAGGTGGTCGATTCCGAGGACTCGGGAACAAGCTTCGGCTGGGAAAGCCCCAAAGCACGGTTCGAAACATTTAGGCGTAAACAAGCCAACAGGGCCAGGGCGGCGCATCATCCCAGCTATGTCTGCTGGCTGCCACGGACTTCATTGACCCGATAGAACAGGGTGAACAAGAGATTTGCGCTATGAGGTTACATGATCGCCAGCCGCCAGCGATCTTCCACCATAATCATCTCGTGAACCGGGCCGGGGGCCCAACCTCTCGCTAACCGAGAACAAGTTTCGACAAGGCCTCACTGTGGCAAAGAAAGGGAACCCACGTCGTTTCTGATTAATGAATGGTATTGCTGCCGAGGCGATAAATGCTACTGTTCCTTTCGCTTCCAAGGCCGCGAAATCCGAAAGACACATGGCGAGACTTGGGCTGCTTGCGTACCTGATTACCCGCCAAACGAAACACACCACAGCGTATCGTCGACCAAGAAAACGGAAATTGTGCCTACAATGATTGGGGGTTTTATTGCTCTGGTTGGTATCAATAGGCCTAGACCGTTCTGTCCGCAGGCTACAGGGCACATATGACAAGCCTCCAATGAGTTCGGAACGCGGTCCAGGAACAAACCCTGCACACGAAAGTGGTTCATGTTGCGTCGTGGCGTTATAACCCTCCAATGGTGCCACGGCTTGTCGCCATATGGCCATTACAAAGGTCATTACCAACTGCACCCTGGCTGAACAGAAACCCGGAAAGTCTGTCACCTCGGAAGAACGAACGGTCTAGCGGTCTGTATCCCGGCATCTGGACTGGGCCACGGCACTTCTCTCGAGGTCAACACGCATAAAGTGCACATAGAAAAGTGTACTGGATTGGCGGCACATTTCAGAAGTAGGAAGACTGCTGGCTGACGCGGCAGCATCAAAGTCTCGATGGTTCGAGTGCCTTTAGATGCGATCAATAGATAGTGTGGCTGGCGAGGAGGCGAGGAGACCGCCGCCTCCGGTGTGGTGGGAGAGGTGACCCTGGTCGGTCACAGTCGGTGGCCAGAACTGGAGTCCATGTGGCCATAACAGCACCTGCTATATGGAATATGAGTCAGGATCGAAACACTTGCGGGGAGGCCGCCTCGGTCACTGCCTCCCGTGTGTCTATTCAAGTCAGACATGTGCATGGAGTGATGGCTTTGTGTTTTGCCATCTTTCCCATGAGTCTGTTTGGGGGGGGGGACGTCTGACAGAATGCCGGACTTGCCAGCCGACGGCTTCGCCGCCTGGGATCTCCGCACGACTCCCCAGTTCCTTTCGCCGTTGATCACGCTGAAAGAGAGATAGGCGGGCCGAATCTGCTAGAGTTATCCTCTTGCGCGCCTATTGCAATTGGGTGGATTTTAGGTTTCCAGAGCAGATGCATGTTCCTCCCCTGCGTCGTCATCGCAAGCGGCGTTTCTCTCGGGGCCAAAGGGATACCGTTAGGGCTCTGTAGATCAATGCAGCTCAACGTTGACGCCACAGCTATTTCGAAAGTCGGCAGGTGGTTTCTGCATGGCGCCAGCACATATCGAACAGAGCATATCGCTTTGAGTCTACGCTCCTGAGCCTGATACGCACTTTAGTATTGCCAGCGTGTCCATTGCACGGCCAATGATGAATCAGATGGACTCAAGTGTTGTGTTTTGTAGTACAGAATATGCCATTCAGTCCAATCATGGCATTCCCACGCCCCGTTACGCCGAATAGCCAGTCATTTCATCTTCACCTGCCGTAGATTCGAGGCCATGTTGCTGTCCATCTCCTAAGACTCCAGCGTGCCGTTCTCCATCAGTGACTGGTAGAACTCAGGCTCTAGGAACGTCGCAACGCTGACGTCCTCGCTGAGGCCCTTTCTTCTCCTCGTCTTCAGTACAAAATCACGCGCCGTGGCCTGAGCGGTTGCGGGCTGTAGGGGCTTCACCACGACAGATTTGTCAAGAGGGTCGCCTGGCACGATGCTCCAACTGTCAAAGGTCATGCTGACCATTGCAGACCCCTGCGTCTGGATTCGTAGAGCTGTCTCGAAGCCAAACGAGTCGATCACGGGGATCAGTCCGTTCACACGATACAACGGGGTACCGGGTATAGGGCCATCTGAAAGAACGTGGCCGCGACGGCGAGCAAGGGCGGTGTAAACCTCAGTTGCTGAATCTTCGGGCCCAGTCACGGAAATAGCGTATTGGGGCTCCATCAGGCGTGGTGAAGCCATCAAGAAGGAAGAATAACAGGCGCGGCGTGATGTGGGGATAATCTGGCCACCACCACGGAAGATCGCTTCCTGCGCGAGAGCAACATCCGTCACACGGAACTTGGTGTTGCGAATAGCTACATTGAGTGTCGGTCAGCTCTCCAGTTCATGACAAGACGTCGACGACAGGTTGGGCAGGGTTTTTGAACTCACGTTCTTCGCAAAGAGGGCCTTCTCTGGTTGCCCAGCTGAATCCTTGCCGCAGAGTTTCTTTGACACTAGTCAAGAGCTTCTTATCGACCTTTCACAACGTCAGCGTCATCCACATGAAGGAAAGAGAGAGTTCAACGAACCTCGGAGGGGAGTGTGTCGTCTTGAAGAATGTTTGGGCCAGTGTCCTCAGGACCAAAGGCCCAAATACTCCTCGCTGCTAGTTTGTCCCATCCGTACGTTTCTTCGAAATACTTTGCTGTCTTGCGAATGGGGTCCCGAATTTTGACCTTTCCAGACTCGATATCTTCGGAGATCCCCTTGTCAAGTTGCTCCGCTATCATCGTGATGCGGTTCTTCTTGTTCGGTGTGATGGCGTAGCATTTCGTAGCCGACTGCTCCACAACGGTCTCGCAGAAACGAGTGACAGGATCAGAGATCTTGATTTCCATGTCGGCATAGAGCCGCCTCAGGTCATGGAGGACGCAGTCCATGTAGAGCTCTCCTGTGCCAAGTACAATATGCTCTCCAGACTCCTCCACCTTGGTAACGATGAGTGGGTAGCTCTTCTGGATCTTTCGCAGGCCGTCCAGCATTTTCGGTAGCTCTGAAGGGTTGATGGGTTCCACAGCTACCTTGAGAACAGATTCAGTGAAGTGTGTCAAAGGTTTGAAAATGAACACGTCCTCGTCATCATCCAGCTTTGGGGGAACGATTGTAGCCGTCTTGACAATCGAGTTGTCTACCCCGCCAAGGAGAACCCAATTGCCTGCTGGCACGCCATCCGTCGGTATATTATACCTCGTCTCAGAGATGAAGACATCCGTGACGGTGGCCATGACCATGTCTTCCTCATCATCCAGCGAGTATCCTTCGCCAAGAACTCGTACCTGCATACCAGGCCGGGCAGTTCCGCTTAGCACACGACCAAACGAATTGAAGTTTTTCGCATCGGTCGTGTTGAAGAGCTTGGTGACGTGCACCACAAGCGGGCCATCTTGGTTGCAAGTTTTCATACTCTCTGCGAGCTTGGTGTCCAAAGGACCGGTGTAGTATTTCTGCAACCACTTCTCGGCTCCATCCAGAGGGGAGGGGATGTGTCGGACAACCATATCAACAAATCCGGTGGAAGGTCCAAAGAATTGTTCGCAGACCAACTTCAGCAGAATCTTAGCATCTGCCTTGTATTGAGAAGGCTTTAGCGTGATCCCGAGCCCTCCCAATACTTCCTTCAGATCTTCTGGGCTGTCGCTGATTGTGTGGGTGTAGATCTTGTAGATCGGCTCCAACACGAACTTGACGAAAGAACGCTGAGCGCCCTCCTCAACGGGCTTCCTGGTGAAATTACGCTTCTTTGGGTTGAAGTAGACGTCACCCCATAGCCTCTTGGCAAAATCATCCGTGTCGATACCACCGTACATGTCGGCATACATCTTGGCGAAGGACTGCAGCGTGAAGCACCAACCCATATCGGTGCAAGAGAAAAGGACATTGCCCTTCTCAGGACTGATACGCTTTGCCTCGCCTTTACCGGGGACTGTGTTCTCAATGACAGTATTGACCTCCTCGATGACGTGCTTGAGCTTGAAGTAGGCATCCTTGGGCGGCAGCTTGAGCTCTAAGATCAGGCGATCAAACTTGTTGACGATCAACGTGAGAGGAATGTTCTCCAGCACAGCGTGCTTGATGATTTTCTCCGTGTTGACCTGAACACCCTCAACGATGTCGACCACCAGGCAGACACCATCCACAAGTCGCAAGCCCGCTGCCACTTCATCGACAAAATTCACGTGTCCCGGAGTGTCGAGGATATTGATAAGGTGTGACTTTCCCTTGGTGCCTGGCAGCACCAAGCTCATGGGTGAAGACTTGACGGAGAGTCCGCGTTCGCGCTCGAGAGTGTGGACATCTGTGTATCGGAGTTGCTCGTCTCGGTTCTTGCCCACCCTGCGTTCCAGTCTGTCGGTGATATCGTGTGTCTCCAGGACCAACATGTCCATAAAGGCTGTCTTTCCGTGGTGCAGGTGGCCAGCCAGGGCAATGTTGCGCGTCTGTTCCGGAAAGTTCATCAAATCGGTCATGAAGCTGCGATCGAAAAAGACGGGAGGCAGGTCGGCCTCTTCGATGTTGAACTTCTTCTGCTCGACTGGCGCGACGATGGGTTCCGTGAGCAATTGCTCGTCTTCTTCCCGAACCAGGATTTCGACCTCATCGCCATATACTTGTTGCGCCGTGGGGTAATATTGTTTGTCTTCGTGTAGGATAATGGCATTTGACGGACCGTCGTCTAGCGAGTGGTTAGACGCTGAGTTGGACACGGTGGGAGAGCATCAAGCCATTACCGTCAAGCTCCATCAGCTCCTGGCCTGTCGGCGCAGGTGCTTCACTTGCATCATCTCCATAGACATAGTCCGACGCGTTGGCGCCATGTTCGGATGCTTCCTCGGAGCCAGCCTCCTCGCCAATGAAGTTGCCGAACCTGGTTGCGACACGTTAGCGGAAAAATTATGCAGAGCAACAGGATAGCTCCAGACATACTCGTCGT